CGGCGGGCAGGGAAAAACCTAAAAACCTGTCTGTGCTCCCCACGTGTGCTGCGTGTGCCGGGAATGCCGGTGGCAAGGGAGGGAGGCCCCGAGGAGCCGTCGGTGCTGGAATGTTCCCCCTGGCCGCCGGCAGCATGGGCACGCCGGGACGTGCCTGCTCCGGCTCTTGGCGTGTGTGATTCCCATCCTGGCACGGAAATTCATCCCTGCTGGAATGCCGGGAGCACCCCGGGGTGCTCCACCCCACTGGGTTTCATCCCAACCTTGTTGGTGGACCCCCCTTTCCTAAGGAGGATGCTGCGCTCCTCCATAGAGGAAGCAGGAAGCCGCCCCACACCGCCAGTTCTCATCTCCGCAGTGCTTTGCAAACAGTAACTAATTAATCCTAATTAACTCGTTACCTAATTAGAGCCCAAGGGCTCTCCCCTTTGCAGGGAGATGGGAAATTCTGGCACCTCAGGGGATTATTTTTTTCCAGCCCAAAGCCTCCATGTTTGCTTCACACCAGCATCAGGCTGTGCCCTTTGTACTCTCCATCGCTGCCAATCCAGGGAGAAAAACCTACTTTTTGGGGTTGCTAATGCCAAGAAGCCTGGAATGAACATTTTCCCTCATGTGGATAGCTGGCACTGGGAATACTGACATCCCCAATGCCTGCTGTGCCCACCCATCCCAGGGGAGCCCACTTTGGTAGGTTCTTTCAACCATGTTTTTATGTAAAACAAGGGATTTTTGGGGAAGGAAACAAGTAGGTGGGTGGGATGAAGGTGTTTCCCAAAGAATTCCCTTTCCATGTGAGTGCCACATGGCTTTGGGAACACTGGAAAAGTTCTAGAGCATCCCAGTGTCACCACTCAAGGACCACATTTCTCACCTGAAAATCCCAATTTACCACCCATAAAAATCTCCTTTTCTCTGCTGAGCCTGCTGGAGGTCCTGTATGGATCTGGTGCTGGTGGAATGGGAAGGACACATTGCTCTGTGCAGGTCTAACAGCCCTGTGGCTTTGCAGAAACCCTGTGGTGGTGATTCCAGCATGATTTCCTTCCACTCCCGCCTTCCGCTCCTTTTAATCGCGGTTGGATCTATCCTGGGAGCAAAACCAGCCTTGGAATCATATTTTTTTTCAGCAGGCAAGCACTAATTTCCTTCATTTTCCAGCCTCTGGGATGGAGCTGGGCATGGGTTTTGTTGTTCTTTTTTTTTTTTTTTTTTCCCCTGCATACCAACCACCTTCCCAGGAAAGGGGCCCCTTTCCCACACCCAAGATTAATCCACCCAAAGTAGAGTTGGAAAAAAAGCCTGGAGTGTCACTTGTCCCTTGTTGGATTCTCCAACAAGGAAAATCCCAGGAGATGTTCACCAATCCTTGGTGGATCCCACAAGTTCAGCAGTGACCCACGCCATCTCTTCCCAGTGCAGATTTGGGATTGGATAACTCCACTCCCCCTGCAAAAAAAAAAATCAGAAAATGCCTAAATTGGTGCCGAGGTTTAAAACCACCAGTTTCTTAATCACAGGGAAAAAAAATCCCACAGCAGAAGTGAAAGCCTTGATGGAAATTAACCCAGCGAGGGTGAAATCAGACATTAGGGAAGCTCTGGGGGGATCCAGGCTCTCCCAGTGTTCCATTTTTGGGTGGCAACTTCTGGGTGTCAATATCCGAAAATCAGATAAAAAGGGAGTTTTGGAGCTGCTGGCTCAGGTTCATGGTTGAGTCATGGATAATTAATGGATCTGGGGACCTTCCAGGATGGGGAAGTGATGGGAGATGGGGGATCCCAGCTGGTGGGTGACAGAGCAGGGGGAATGTGGGGAGGGCCAGGGAGAGGCCCAGAGGTCCCACAGGGGATGGTGCCTCTGTCCCAGCTCCATTGCTGTGGCCAGAACCGGTTCCAGGGGTTCTGACACCCCAGGCAGCTGCAAAGGGATGTCCACTCTGTGTCTTGGGTGCCCGTCCCATCCCGTCCCATCCCGTCCCATCCCATCCCATCCCATCCCATCCCATCCCATCCCATCCCATCCCAATCCTTTCCCATTTCCCACCTCTCTCAGAGGCACCATTTCCTTTCAGGACATCCCCTCTCCTCTCCATCCTCCTCTGTGACAGAATATTTTGGGAAAACATGAAAAAGACCCTTAATTTTTATTTTTTTTTTCAATAATTTTAAAAGTGAAAACTCAGAAGCTCTAGGGTAAATCCCCTGGACTTAGGAGAAGAGGAATGGATGGGATTTGCCCCGCTCTCCCTTCCCCTGTGTGCAGTGTCTGTGGATTTTGGGAGCTGTAAGAGACCCACAGAGGAGCTGGGGGGACCCTGAGATTGGGGGAGACCCTGAGAGGGGCTGGAGACCCCCTGGGAAATGTTGGGGATCCTCAAGATGATGAGGAGGACTGGGGATGTCCCTGATGGGGCTGTGGAGCCTCACGGAGGGGCTGAGGGTGGCAGAGGCAGAGATAGGGGCTGAGAGGGGGAAATTTAGGGGAATTTAGGGGATAAGAGGAACTGGGGTGCATGGGGTAAGAAGGGCTGGGACCTGTGGGGGGCTGAAGAGATTTGGGGGGGCTAAGGGAGTTCAGGGGGATTGAGGAGAACTGAGAGGAGCTGAGGAAAACTAAGGGGGTTGAAGAGAATCAGGAGTTCTGAGGAGCTGAGGGGAAATGGAGGAGTGGCATCTTGGGTGGGGCTGAGAGGAATTGGGAGCATGAGGAGCTTTTGGAGGGGCTGAGGGGAATGGAGTGGAAGAGTTTTAGGGGAGAGGAGGAGATTTTGGGGGGGTCTGAGCAGATTTTGAGGAGTCTGAGGAGATTTGGGAGGCCTGAGGAGATTTTGGGGTGGTCTGAGGGGATTTGGGGACATTGAGGAGTCCTGGAGATGCTGAGGAAACTGAGGGGGATGAGGAGATTTGGGGGGGCTGGAGGAGGCTGAGGAGAATGGAAGGAACTGAAGGGATCTGGAGGATCTGAGGAGATTTGGGGGGATCTGAGTGGAACTGGGGGCATGAGGAGATCTGGGGAGTCTCTGAGATTTGGAGGTCTGAGTGAAACCAAGGGTCTAGGGGGATCTGGGCATTTGAAGATCTTTGGGTGGTGTTAGAGGAACTGGGAGGCTGAGGAGATTTGGAGGATTTGAGGAGATTTTGGGGGATTCCGAGGATATTTGGGGATGTGAGGACACTGAGTCGTCCTGGAGACAGTGAGGGAACCATGCGGTTGAGATTTGAGGGATCTGGGACTTGGCAGGGTCAGAGGAGAACTGAGGAGATACAGGGCATTGAGGAACTTTGGGTGGGCTGAGGGAAAAGGGGTGTCTGTGGAGATTTTGGGGGTACTGAGGTGAACTGAGTGGGCTGAGGAGATTTGAGTGGGCTGAGATTTGAGGGTTGCAAAAATTTGAGCGGGCTGGCAATGCTGAGGGAGCGGGGCAGGCTGAAAACGGAGGGGAGCCGGGGGTTGAGGAGACTTGAGGCAGCTGAGGGAACCAGAGGGTTGAGGAGATTTGGGGGCCTGAGGGAACCAGGGAGCCCAGACAGGGCTGAGGGGGCTGTGGAGGTTCGGGGAGCCCTGCTGGGGCCGAGGGGACCGGCTGGATGAAGGAGTGTTGGAGGCTGAGGGAACCGGAGAGCCCCGACAGGGCTGAGGGGGCTCGGGGGGCTGCAGAGGTTGGGGGAGCCCTGCCGGGGCTGAGTGGACCGGTCGGCTGAGGAGATTTGGGGCCCTGAGGGAACCAGGGAGCCCAGACAGGGCTGAGGGGGCTGCGGAGGTTCGGGGAGCCCTGCCGGGGCCGAGGGGAATGACCGGGTAAGGAGGTGTTGGAGGCTGAGGGAACCGGGGAGCCCCGATAGCGCTGAGGAGGTTTGGGGGGCTGTGGGCACTGAGGCGTCTTCCCGGGCCTGAGGGAATCGGGGGCTGTGGAGCTTTGGGGAGCCCTGCCGGGGCTGCGGGGAGCTGAGGGGGCTTGGGGAGCCAAGAGGGCTTGCGGGGCTGCGGACACCGCGCACCCCTCCCGGGGCTGAGGGACCCGGGGCTGCGGACACCGGGCACCCCTCCCGGGGCTGAGGGACCCGGGGCTGCGGACACCGCGCACCCCTCCCGGGGCTGAGGGAGCCGGGGCTGCGGAGCTTCGCGGAGCTCTCCGGGGGCTGCGGCGGTTTCGGGGGGCTGCGGGCCCCGGGGAGCCCTTCGGGCCGGGGTGCCCCAGCCCAGCTCAGCCCAGCCCGTCCCTGGGCGGGCGGTGGCGGCGGCGGGGCCGGGCGGGCCGGAGGCGGGGGCGGCGGCGGGGGGGCGGCGCGGGGCTCCATCTTCCTCCGTGCGGCGGAGCCGGCGGGACGGCGGGGCACCATGGCTGTCGGTATAGGAAGTGTCTTTTTTTTTTTACCTTCCCCCCCTCGCTTTATTTTTTTTTTTATATCCCTCATCCCTCCCTTTCCACCCCCCCGTTCCCTCTCCAAAACACCTCAAAACCCCCCGAAACCCCCCTCACCCCGGGGGCGAGCGGGAAAAGGGGGACCTTCACACACTCCCCCCTTCCCCCCCCGCCCCCGCGCTGCTTTTTATTCATTTTTCATCTAAATCAATATTTTAAAAAAATTTCCCTCCTTTTTTCCCCCCCTCACCCCCCCCCCCCCCTTCCCCCTCCCCTCAGCCCTGCAGAACATGGCGTCCCCGTCCTAGCGTTTTAAAAATAAGCCGGGGCTGCCATTTTTGTTTGCCTTTTGTCTGCGAATTTTAATAAAAACGTCTGAGAATGTGGGAGAGGCGGCGGATGGAGGGGGGGTGGGGGGAGCACTCAGCCGGCCCACCCCCCCTTCCCCAAACCCCCCCTTCCACCCCCATCCCCCGGCCTTTTTGTCTGGCAAACCCCCCCCCCCTCCGCAAATCCCCTCCCAGGTTGAGGATTTCAACTTCACTTAACCAAACTTCGCCTTTTTCCACCTCTTTTTTTTTTTTCATTATTGTCATCATTATTCCACCAACCCCCCCTCCAAGCAGGAAGAAGAAGGAAAAGAGAGAGAAAAAAAAAGGGGGGAAAAGAGGGGGGGAACATCGAGGAAAATACCCATTTACCAGGATTTTCCCTTTTTCTTTCCCTCTGGATGGTCTAATGGAAAAGTTAATTGCAGCCGAACGTACCTATTTTTGTGGATGTTGCATGTTTTTGGAGGGGGGGGTTTGCTTTTTTAATGCATTCTTGGCTTTTTTTCTGACTTTTTTTGCTTACAGGAGGTGGCAGAAGCAGCGCAGGGGCTGAATATTATCATTACCATCATCATAATCACCATTATTATAATTTTCACCATTTTAATTCCTTTTCTCCTTCCTCTTCTCCTCCTTTTCTTCGCTGTTTTCTGCATTAACTGGTTTTGTCTAGAAAAGTGGTCTCGCTGGCTGGAAGGTCTAATGGAGGGGGGGAGATATTTTTTTCATGGCGTTTTTGGCAGGAATGCGGCAGCTTTAGCGAGGGACCCAAATTTCTGTGGCTGTGTCCCAGAGGTCTGTCTGTCCCTCTCCAACATATATTTAGCCATATACTATTTATACATCCATAATCTCCCGGCCACGTCGGGGGGCCTGGGGGGGGAGCTTAGAGCCGGCGTGGCCACAGTGATGGATTTGAACCCAGGAATGGTGAATTCGATGATTTTGATTTCTTTTTCTCCCTTCAAGGTTGGAGGATGCTCCTTGTTGGGTTATTTTTTTCCCCCCCCGCAAGCCTGCGGTCCTTCGGATAGCAGCCGGGTTTTTTAACCTGGGGACGATGGAGCAGGTGAAAGCGGCTTCGAGCCCGAGGCCTTTGAGATTATAAAGTGATATTTTAGCAGAGAGGTAAAAAAAGTTTTTTTAAGTCCCTCACGGCGTGCCATTTGCCGAGAGGCGGAGGGTCCAGGGCAAGGGGATGGATTTCACCCCCACTTTTCCAGCCAGCTCCCCATCCCTCAGCTTTCCCAACAGCTCAGGGGGCGAGCGGGGCTATAAAAAAAAAAAAAAAAACAACCACTATTTTTTATTTTTTTTTTTTTTTTGTTTTCTTTTTATTTTCCTTTTTTTTTTTTTTTTTTTTTTGTTGTTTTCTCTCTATTTTCAGGCAAAACCCCACGTTCCCACGGGTCGGGTAGGTCGGAGCCGCTTCGCTTTTGTTCCTCCGCTGTGGGATCTCGCGCGCCGGGGGCTGGCGGGGGGTTCGGGGTGTGTGAAGTTGTCCTCCTCCTTGTCCCCCCGTAGAAAAACGCCCCACGTGCAGCACCCGGTCTCAGCTAGAGCTGGAGATGAACGCGGATAAGGGGAAGCAACGCCAGTACTCGCAGAGGTGGGCATGATGGCTGGATGGAGGGGGATCACAGGGAGGAAAAAAAACAACAAAAAACCCCACTGCTTTTAGACGTTTGCAGCTTAAAGCAGCACCTAATGCAGCGGTGTGCATGCATGGGGTTATGTGTGTGTGCTTGTGGAAATAATATGTATGTGCACACCAGAATGCAGGTATTATATGTGTGTGTGTGTATTTCTGTATAAGTGGGGGTATGGTGTTTTTTGGGGGTGTTTTGGGGGTGTGAGGGGCTCCTTGTTTACCCCCTCTGCAGGGAGGGGACCCTGCTCCCAGGGTATGTGTGACCCCCTTGATATTTCCCTTTTAAGCGATGTGCCTTTATATGCATAAAATAATAACGTTCACCCTCAACCCCCCCACACCTTCTGCTTTTTCCCTTAAAAATGTGCATTTTTGGTCGTTGGGCGCGATGTCAGGACAAGTGCATGTTGGATTCGGTGCTCTCACTCCCTCCTCAGGGTGATCCCCTGCCTGTGCCTCGGTTTCCCTGCGTGCTGTCACCCAGGAGTGACCCCCCCTGTGCTGCTGGGGTGGGCATTTGCCCCAGGCTGATTTGTGGTGCTGCCTTTGCCTTGCAGGGTGCCTGGCTGGTCTCTTTTGGGGGGAGGTGGATGTGTTTGAGGTTTGGGGGAGCAGGGCCCCCTCAGGCTGGGGAGTGGTGTGTTTTGTGGGGCATGTGTGCCCTGTGTCTCGTGTGTCACCTCGTGGGCTCTGGGTCTCCCTGCGGGCTGTCCCCGTGTCCCCTCTGCTGGGTCACTGGACCCAAACTGTGGATTTGGGGTCACACCACCTTGGCCCCCATCTTCTGGGAGTGTTGCCACCCTGGTTTCCCCCTCCTCCACCCCTGAGCTGGGGTCTCCAGCGTGTCTTTGCCTCCCCTCCTGCTTGCCACTGGTGCTTGGTTCCTCACCCTGCCCCGTGCACCCCTTTTCCTGCGCGGGGACCCCCGGTCCAGGCTGGGGGCTCGTTTTGGGTTGGTTTTGCTGGAAATGCAGAAGGAGAAGCCCCAGCCCAGGGCCCTTCGGGGGGCGGAAGCCGGGGGTTTAATTGGTTCCATCTTGGGTGAATTCTTGTGGCGTGCAGGCCACCCCCTCCCCGAGCCACAGGGGGCTCGCCCGGCGTTCCTGCTTCGCAGCCATGCCTGCCTCTGCCCCCTTCGCCTTGGGGTGAGTCCTTCTGGGCAGGAGGGATGTGCGTTCCCTGAGCGTGGTGCTAGGTGCTGGTTGGCTTTGGGATGCAGGTTTAGTGGATGGGCACTTGCTTTCCCTCCAAAACTCCTCCTGCTCCAGGTGAACCCCAGGGAAACTTGTTCTTAAGAGGGGACAGCGACCACGGCCTTGTGTTTTGGGGGGGAAACTGAGGCATGCTGGAAGGCAGAGCTGGGTTCCCCGGCCCAGGGAGCATCCCTGGTGTGTGTGGGCTGTGCTGGGAAGGGCGTGCTGGGGTTTGGTGGGGAGCGCTCAGGGTACATCCATGCCCCGGCTCGGTTCTGCCCCGTGCGCCGTCCGTGGCCGCCGCCGGCTCTCCTGCACTCGCCGCTTGCCACGGGGGTGGGACCTGTGCCCTGATGCTCTTGCTGGGACACCTGGGGACACCAAACTCGCTGTCTTGCTCGGTCGAGGACACATTTAGCTACCAAGTGCTGCTCTGATCACCCTGAGTCCCTCCCCTCTCCTCCCAGACCCCCCTCACTTCCAGGCTGTACCAGGTTGGTGGTCGCTCACCGGTCCCTGGGAGCTGCCCCTTTTCTCCCGGCGGTGGCGTGAAAAGAAATCTCTTGTTTCTTTTTATTTCAGCGAAGGCGAGACAGAGAGGGCTGCCAAGGTAGAGGCGTTCCCTAGAGAACTGTAGCTTGACTTAGCGGCAGTTGGGTAGGAAGTTGGAAGGCTCTAGTGAGCTCGTGCCCACCCGTGCCATCATCTACCTCCCATCAATCTGGAGCCTCAGCGACACGTCTCCCCAGGCAGCTGCGCCCACCTGGCTCCAGAGGCCACCCTGTGAGTACCAACCACCGACCCCGACGGCCCCGGCATTGCTGCCACCGCCCCCGCTGTCCCCTCGCCACCACCCCCAGCCCTGGCTTGCCGGCTTCTCCCGCTCTTCCCTCCCCGTGGGTGCACAGGCCAGCAGGATTTTGGTCTCTTTTTAGGGTGCTGCTGCTGCTTCCCCTCCTTGGCCCGGCTGAGCGGTGATGCCGGGTGCTGTGCTGTTCTGGGGAGTTTGGGTTTCAGCCCCGTGGTTTTGGGGCTCTGTGCATCTTTCCTGCTTGCTCTTCCCACATCCCTCTCTTCTGGCTGGGCTGCTTGGGTCTCCACCATGCTTTGGGCGCCCACCTTGTCTCTAGGGATGACCTTTGGCAACCCCTCAGCAGCCAAATCTGGTGCCTGTGGAGGATGTCAGGGGCTCTTCCCACCATGGTTTGGACCACAGGACCCCACGCCACTGGAGATGTTACCCAAGAGATGCCCAGCCAAAAAACTGGGGGGGCACAGAGAGCCCTACCACCCCCCGTGCCCTGCAGAGCTGGGGGGAGACGTGCCGCAGCATTCCCTACCCTTCATCATTTCCATTTTAATGGATTTTCTTTTTTTTTCCACCTTTGCTGCATGTCAGCTTCCATTTTTCATAGTTAGCTGAGAATAGAGAAAAAGGGAGTTTTTATATATATATATATATATACTTTTTTTTCCATCTGCCTTCTTCCCCCTCCCACTCCGTTTCCCAGCCCCAGAGAAGGGGACGCCGCTCCCGACAGAGAAACACTGCACAATTTGTAACATTAAATCGGGACAGGAACAGGGATTTTTAGAATTATTTTGGCAACGCCGACCATTTCTTCCCTCTTGTTCATCCAGCTCCGAGTGTGGTGGTTTTGCAAATAATTTCTCATTTCTTTAGTAAGCCCTCCTCAGGTGGGGGTGGGGAAACACGTGATATTTGTGCTTTTCTCCCCAAAATACCCTTTGTGCCTCTCCAGCTTTGCAGGAAGGATCTTGGGACTGGTGTAGGGTTGGTGCTGTGTCCTGGTGATGGTTTGGGGGCCACGCTGGTGGCTTTGATCTGTCTGGGTGCTGCTGCTGGCTCCACTGGAGCCCAGCGTGCTGTCGGGACAGGGAGAAGGATGGACAGATGGACGGATGGGAAGGACAGAGGTCACGGGGCACCTGCTGAGATGGGGGATCAGCTCCAAAAAACCCTTTTCTAATCATAGCTCCAGTTTCCTGTTTTCCCACGGCTGCTCTGGGGTGGGTGGGGGATTGCTGCCGGGGTGCTTGGTCATGCCTGGGGGGCTCAGAGCCCTCCTGCTCCCTGCCTGTCTCTGTACAAGGGATTCCCTGCTGCCAGCTCTGCTTTTCTCCCTGGTTCCCGGTGTCCAGCCCCTCATGCTGGCACTGGCATCCCTCATCCCGTGCCCATCATCCCAAGAGATCTATATGTGTGTATATATACACACACAACACGTAGCCAGTGGGTAAATGCACGCTGTGGGCGGCCTGTGGGTACATATATAATTACACAAAGGAGCTGGCAGCGGCTGCAGCCGTGCTTGGGAAGGTGCATTTAACATCCCCAGCGAATTCCTGTTCTGTGGCTCCCCCTGTGCCACTGGGGTCTGGACCTGCTCTCACTTCCAAAGCCTAAAATTCAGTGCTTGAGCAGTGGGAGGTGACCTGGAGTGGTTCAAGACTTGGGAAGGGGAATTCCCAAAGCTGATGCCTGGGTGGTGTCCTGGACAGTCTGTGGTGTTGAGAAATTCCTCCCATTCCTTGATACCCTGGAACACACCTCGTCCTGTGCCAGGCTGCTCTGTAGCACAAGGGGCAGGTGGTTCCTCCCTCCCTGCCTTGGTTTCCTCCCAAAACGGGCATGGTCCATCCCACAGCTTCTTCAGGGTAGCTGCTGGGATGTTACATTCTGGTGGGATTCCCTTTCTCTGCACGCTGCCCACCTGCCTGTGGGGAGCTCAGAGCGTGTGTGAACCCTGGGGCAGCAAATGTGAGGAGGAAGAGGAGGAAGGCTCATCATCCCCAAATCCTGCCAGCCCCAAAGCTTCTGGGGATGCACGTTGCTGGAGGCATCGCTCTGGTTTCTCCTGGATTCCTTGCCATGGCCTGGTTTATTTTGGAGCCAGAGCTCCTGTGGGACCCCTTCCCATACATCCCATCAGGATCCTACAGATGCTTACCCTCATGCCCCATAATGGGATTTGCTGGGGTGGTGATGCCATGGGCTGCTCTGCAGGGATCATCCTCTTGCTGCCTCCTTCCAGCTGTTTCCCATTACCCAAAGGTGGATTTAGGATGAGTTTCTCCAACACCTTCAAGCGTCTCCATAAATCTCCCAGCCCTGCTGGTTCCTGGTGTTCCTGTTGAGCTGCTCTGGGTGTCACAGGCACCTCACTTGGCTTTGGAGGGGGATTTTAGGGGGATTCAGCTGGGATTGCTGTTGGGTTCAATGTGCTGCTGTGCTTGCCCTCTCCCATGGCTGTGTCCCATCCACCTCCAATCCCTTCCTGGATGGGACAAATGCTTCCAGAGCTTGGGAGACTTGGGGGTTTTCCTCAAATTTCAGCTTCCTCCTTTTCCTTCCTTTTCCAAGTAGTGTCCTAGTGCACTCACCAGTGTTTTGTGGCCTTTGGGCCTTTGGGCAGGCAGGTGCTTGGTGTCCCCCTGATCCTACAGGAATTTTCATCAGGGAAGATGCGTGGGGGGGTTCCCCAGTCCTGCCCCCCTCGCCAGCTCCCTGCCTTTGCTCAGAGTCTGGGTCTTGCTTCTTGGGGGGGTGATGGTTTGTTTTGGGGGCTCAAGGTGGAAGGGTAGGGGGATGATGTCCCATAACCGCCCCCTCTCTCCCCAGGATGGCGGAGCCTCGCTTCAACAACCCCTACTTCTGGCCGCCCCCGCCCACCATGCCCAGCCAGGTAGGACCCCTGCACCGGGATTCTGGGGGGAGGGAGGGTGAATGGGTGTGGAGAACACTGAGGGGGAGGCTGGGAGTGCCAGGGATCCCAGTTCCTCTGCCCTCACCCACCCGTGTGCCTTCTCCCCCCTCAGCTGGACAACCTGGTCCTGATCAACAAAATCAAGGAGCAGTTGATGGCGGAGAAGATCCGCCCCCCTCACCTGCCTCCCACCTCGGTGGCCTCGCAGCAGCCCCTCCTGGTGCCCCCCTCTCCTGCTGAGAGCAGCCAGTCCATCATGTCCCTGCCAAAACTGCAGCAGGTGCCAGGGCTGCACCCGCAGGCCGTGCCCCAGCCTGACGTGGCCCTGCACGCCCGGCCGGCCACCAGCACCGTCACAGGTATGTGACACTGCTCCTGTCATTCCAGGGGGTAGAGGGTGATGTGGGTCCCCTCAGAACTAATGCTCTATCCCATTGCCCACCAGGGCTGGGGCTGGCATCCCGTGCACCGGCCGTCAGCACCTCGGAATCCAGCCCGGGAACAGGGACCACCACCCCCTCGACCCCCACCTCCACCAGCCAGAGCCGCCTCATCGCCTCCTCGCCCACCCTAATCTCAGGAATCACCAGCCCCCCCCTCCTCGACTCCATCAAGACAATCCAGGGCCACGGCTTGCTGGGGGCGCCCAAGGCCGAGCGGGGCCGCAAGAAGATCAAGGCGGAAAACCCCTCGGGGCCGCCGGTGCTGGTGGTGCCCTACCCCATCCTGGCCTCGGGGGAGACGGCCAAAGAGGGCAAGACGTACAGGTAGGCACCCCCCCGCCCGCTGCGGGGGCCGGGGGCCGTGGCGGGGAGCCCCCCACCCCAGCCCGGTCCCTGCGGGGTTCTCCCCCACACCCTCCAGGTGTAAGGTCTGCCCCTTGACGTTCTTCACCAAGTCGGAGATGCAGATCCACTCCAAGTCGCACACGGAGGCCAAGCCCCACAAGTGCCCCCACTGCTCCAAGTCCTTCGCCAACGCCTCCTACCTGGCCCAGCACCTGCGCATCCACCTGGGCGTCAAACCCTACCACTGCTCCTACTGTGAGAAGTCCTTCCGCCAGCTCTCCCACCTCCAGCAGCACACCCGGTGAGGGCCCCGCCCAGGGGCTGGGGACACTCGGTCCTGCTGCCAGGGAGGGGCACCCACACCCACCAATCTCTCCTGACATCCTTAATGGCCCTGCTTTGCTTGGTCCTGCTGCCATCATCTCCATCATCATCATCCCCCATCATCTCCAGCACCTTCATTGTTTCCACCACAGTCCTCACTCCCAGTGTGCTCATTGATTCCTCCTCACACTGGCTGTCCCCATTGCCTTTATCATCCCTACTACACTGACCATTTTCAGCACTCCATGCCTTCATCTTCAGCACTACCTTCATCTTCATCAAACCCACCATGCTGGTCTGACACCACAGCCCTCATTATCCCCACTGTGCTCAACATCTCCACCACCTTCGTAGTCTCTGGTACCTCCATTGTCTCCCCTACCTTCTTTCCAACCACGTTTACCATCACCAACCATCATCTTTATTACCTTTATTGCCCCCACCATGCTCAGCCATCTCCACTGTGCTTTTCCCACCACACCCCCATGCACCCACCACCTTCAGCTGTGGGCCCCACCATGTCATCTGTCCACGCATGCCAGCCCATCTCCTCCACACTCACCAGTTTCCTGCTCTTCCATCCTCTCCCAATCCCCATCTCTCAGCCCCATGTCTCCCCTTCTTGTCCCCTGTCACCTCCTGGGGCACAGATGTCACTGTGCCCACTGTAACCCTGTGACAGTGTTCACAGAGGTCTTAGGATGAGGGAGTAGAAGGATCTGACTCCATGTTTCAGAAGGCTTGATTTATTATTTTATTATATATATTACATTAAAACTGTGCTAAAAGAATAGAAGAAAGGATTTCATCAGAAGGCTGGCTAAGAATAGAAAAAGAAGGAATGATAACAAAGGCTTGTGGCTCGGACTCTCTGTCTGAGCCAGCTGTGATTGGCCATTAATTAGAAACAACCACATGAGACCAATCACAGATGTACCTGTTGCATTCCACAGCAGCAGATAATCATTGTTTACATTTTGTTCCTGAGGTCTCTCAGCTTCTCAGGAGGAGAAATCCCAAGGAAAGGATTTTTCATAAAACATATCTGTGCCATAACCCCCCACCCCATGTCTCCCCCCCTTCTCCCCTGTCACCTCCTGGGGCACAGATGGCACTGTGCCCACTGTAACCCCCCAGTCCAGTGTGGGATTGGCCCTGGTGGTGGAAGGGGAGGTGACAATGACAATGGTGTGTCCCCAGAATCCACACCGGCGACAGACCCTACAAGTGCCCGCACCCCGGCTGCGAGAAGGCCTTCACCCAGCTCTCCAACCTCCAGGTGGGTGTGTGGGGGCACCCAGGGCAGGGGGCACGGGGTCACCGTGGTCCCCCCCTGACTCCCTGTGTCCCCCCAGTCCCACCAGCGCCAGCACAACAAGGACAAGCCCTACAAGTGCCCCAACTGCTACCGGGCGTACACGGACTCGGCCTCGCTGCAGATCCACCTGTCTGCGCACGCCATCAAGCACGCCAAGGCCTATTGCTGCAGCATGTGCGGCCGTGCCTACACCTCGGTGAGCACGGGAGATGCCCCCAAAGGTGCCCAGAGCCCCCAGCCCCACGCTCACCCACCCTGTGTGCCCCCCACAGGAGACCTATCTGATGAAGCACATGTCCAAACACACGGTGGTGGAGCACCTGGTCAGCCAGCACTCGCCGCAGCGGACGGAGTCACCCGGCATTCCCGTACGGATCTCCCTCATCTAGGCAGGGAGGGGACAGCACCCCCCCAGCGTGAGGAGGAGGAAGAGGAGAGGGAGGAGGAAGAGGAGGAGAAGAAGGAGGAGGAGGAGGAGGAGGACGAGACCCCCAGCGCCGCGGGCCGCGCCCGGGCCGTGCTCCTGCCCGGCTCCCGCAGGTTTGGTGACATCCAAAGACGGTTTCAGAGCACTTTGAATCTCTGCGGTTTGGTTTCTTTTTTTGGGGGAGGGGGGGCAGTGGGGTTTGGGGGTGTCCCCCCTGCCAGGCCCCACCCCCCATTTTTTGGATACAAATATATATATATATATATATATATTTATTGGCCAAGAACTTGGTGCTGCTAAAAAGACCAGAAATTCACCCCAAAAAAGAACCGTGGATGGAGCAAAAAGCAGCTGGGGGGAGAGGAGAAATCCCACCCCCACCCCCCCCCACAGACTCTGGGCCCAAGCACCTCCATTTGGGGTTGATTTTTAACCATTTTGGGGGTTTTTTGTGTTCTTTTGGGGTCCCTTTCGAGGGCGAAGCCGCGGGCAGAGCTGCGTCCCCCCGGTGCCGGCCCCCCATTCCGCAGCCCCAGTTTTGGGGGGTCTGGGGGTCCCCCTGCTTTGCCTTGTGCCTGCCTGTACATACCCCCTGTATAGAGCCGGGGGGCTCTTCCCCCAAACTCATCTATATTCTGTACTTTTTGGTTCATTTTGGATATTAACTGTGTTATTTTTTATACACTTTTTAAGCCTTAACTCAGCGTTTCTTTGGGGTTTTTTTGTTGTTTTTTTTTTTTTTTTTTCAGGGTGTTTTATTTACCTTTTATTAATTTTTAACCCCTCTGTTATTTTTTATCCTCCCCTTATTATTTTTCCCCTTATTTTTTACCCCCCCCCCCCATTATTTCTCCCCTCAATGTTGTACGATATCAATATTGTAACCTTTTTTGTCAGCATGTTAATACTGTGTAAATATGCCTCTTATACACTTAGCCCCCCCCCCTTTTATCTCCCCTTCCCCCAAATTTTGGGGCTTTTTTATTTTCCTCGCTGCCCAGCCAGGCCAGGCCTCCCTAGAGCTAGTTGGTACCTTATTAAAAAAGGGAAAAAAAACAAAAAAAAAAAAAAAGAAAAAAGAGGAGAAAATGGACAAAAAGTTGCCCCTGTTGTTGCCACCCCCATCCTGCATTGTGGTTCCTGGAGAAGCTGGGCAGGCCACGGCCTCACAGTGTGGAAAAGGAATGAAACCCCCCCAGCCCAGCCCCTTTCCAAAAAAAGAGAATAAAAGAGAACAAAAAAAAGAGACCAGAACGGGAATTAATGAAACTGGGGGGTTGTGTTTGTGGGGGAGGGGAAAGATGGGGGGAGGGGACTCCCCTGTGGGGACATCTGGGGACACAGGGGGTCCCTGGTCCCTGTGGGGCTGCAGGAGGGGAGGGGGAAGCTGTGGCTCATCCAGCAGGGGAATTGTCCCAAATTTCCACAGGGACAGAGGTGGCACAGGGCTCCTAGTCCTGCTGGGGATGTGGGTGATTCACTGTGGGGACACCAACTCTGGGGACAGGTCACTGGCCACCACTGCTGGGGACATTTCACTGCAGCCTGGGACATTTCAGCATGGCCATGAACCCTGGTGAGACCTCAGTGTGGCCACCTGGGGACCCTCCAGGAACCTGTCACCACCTCCGGGGACACCTTATGGGCTCACCACAGAGCAGCCACCAGCCTCAGGGACATGTCACAGTGGGCACCATCTCCATGGCCACCAAGGATATGTCACTGCCATGGCCACAGCTTTGGGGACCCCTCACCATTGTGCTTATCAGCGTTTGGGACACTCTTATCAACACCAGTGCTTGGGGACACTGCACCATGGCTGTGTCACTGCCACCAGCTCTGGGGACACCTCAGTACAGATGCTACATCCAGGGATCAGCTCCAGGGATGTGTCACAGCCCCGGGACATCTCCAGGGACAGGCCACCACCTCCCACCTGTGTCCTGCTAAGCCCTGGGGGTCACCTGGAGGTGTGGAGGGTGCCACTGTCACCACAGTGATGTCCCCACCTCCCAGCTGGGGGCAGCAGGGATCCCCAGGTCACACAGAATGTCCCCACTGCCCTCAGGATGTCCCACCACCCTCGGTGGCATTGGACACATCCCTTAGTTTAGAACAGAAATTTGGAGGTCGGAAGTGAAGAAAACTGGGAGAGTCCCAGGTTTGATTTTTTTTTTTCAGTGTTTATTAAAAACAAAAACAAAAAACAGGAAAGGGGGGGTGGGACCATGTGTGGTTTTTTTTCAATTTTTTTTTTTTTTCCTTTTCTTTTCTTAAAAAGATCGTGCTGGCTGAGGGGGGGAGTGGGGGGGTCCTTACCTGCCTGGGGGGGGACCCCCACCACTGTCCTCTGCTTGGGCGCCCCCAAACCCAGCCCAGAGTGTGGGGGGTGTGTGTGAACGGGGGGTGACGCCTCCTCCGCGCCCCCCACCCCTCCCTGACCCCTTTTGGGGGGTGTCCAAACCTCCCTGTGGGGGCCCCAATCCCAGCTGGGGGAGGGAGCACACGTTAAGGCAACAACCGTCCTGCTTGGCTCTGCTCACCTGGGGGGGACACGGGGGGACACGTGGGGACCCCCCCTCCCTGCTGGAGAAGGGGGGGGGTGTGACCCCCCAAAGCTGGGTGAGGGGTGGGGGGGCTCTAGAGCTACGGGCTATTTACACCCCCCGGGGGGGCAGGGGGGGCGGGGTGTGCTCACAAGTGTCTCCCCCCCTTTGCCCCCTCCCCGGGGCCGCATTGGGGGGGTCAGGGGTCCCCTGGGGGGAGTTGGGGTCCCGTGCCCCCCCCCTCAGGAGTCCTTGAGCATGTTGATGCGGGCGTAGATCTTGAGGGCAGGGCCCAGCTTGATGTTCATGGTGCTCATGAGATGATCCTCCTTGAGCAGCAGCAGCGCCTGCCCGTCGATCTCCTGCGTCCTGAACTCCTCGGCGATCTCCTGGCAGCCTGTGGGGAGGGGCAGCGTCAGCAAAGCCTCTCACAGCCCCCAAAAATACACCCAGGGGCTTCTCTGGGCTCCAATCCCCCTCACAGCCCCCCAAAATACACTGAAAATACACTCAGGGGCTTCTCTGGGCTTGAATCCCCCTCATAATCCCCAAAAACACAATCAGGGGCTTCTCTGGGCTTGAATCCCCCTCACAGCCCCCAAAAATACACCCAGGGGCTTCTCTGGGCTCCAATCCCCCTCACAGCCCCCCAGAATACACCCAGGGGCTTCTCTGGGCTTGAATCCCCCTCACAGCCTCCAAAAATACACCCAGGGACTTCTCCGGGCTTGAATCTCCCTTATAGCCCTCAAAAATACACCAAGGAGCTTCTCAGGGCTTGAATCCCCCTCATAATCCCCAAAAATACACCCAGGGGCTTTCTCTGTGCTTGAATCCTCCTCACAGACCCCAAAAATACACTCAGGGGCTTGAATCCCCCAAAAAATCTCATTTAGGAAGCCGTATGTAAATGGCTTCCTCCAATTATCCTTTAGGTTTATTTGTAAGTAAATACAAATAAACCTGCCCCTGCCCTCCCAATATTAATGGGTTTGTGAGTAGATTCCATCCCCACTAAAAATATTTATGGGGTTATCTGTGAGTAAATCACCCCCCATAAATATATTTATGGGATTGTGTGTGTGTAAATCCTACTCTAAAATATGGCGTTCTCTGTGAATAAATCTCTCCCCAAATCCCCAATTTTGGGGTTATCCTTGAGTAGATCAACACATCCTGAGGAACTCAAATCCTCCCAAAACCACAGCGCTGAGTATCTGTGGGTAGATCCCAGCCCATCCCAGGACATTCCTCAACCTTGAGCAGATTCCCCCATCAACACATCCTGAGGGACACGAATCTTCCCAAAACCGCAGCGCTGGGTGTTTCTGGGTAGATCCCCGTCCATCCCAGGGCATTCCTCACCCGGCAGCGAGCGGATGAACTCGTAGACGTCCTCCACGTTCCACTTGCTGGGCTCGCTGGGCAGGAAGCGGTGGCCGAGGCCGGGCAGGTCGCGCTCGGGCAGCTCCATGTCCCGCAGCTCCAGCTCCCGCTCCCCCTGCCGGCGCCGCGACGTGGAGGAGCTGGCCGAGATGGGCGACAGCGGCTCCTCGTAGCTGGAGTTGTCCGAGCAGCGGCTGGAATCCTCCTGGCTGTGGTTGAGCTGCAACGACGCCGTCACCGACCCCGCTGGGACAGACCCCGGGGGCTGCGGGGGCAGTGCTGGCCTCAGCACCGGCCCCGTGTCACCAAAACTCGGGGACAAACCCCAGCCTCAGACCTGCCCCGTGTCACCAACATTCAGGGACAAACCCCAGCCTCAGCACCCACCCCACGTTCCCAAAACTCAGGGACAAACCCCAGGCTCGGCATCTGCCCTGTGTCACCAGAATTCTGGGACAAACCCCAGGCTCGGCATCTGCCCCGTGCCACCAAACTCAGGGACAAACCCCAGCCTCAGTGCCCACCCCATTCCCAAAACTCAGGGACAAACCCCAGCCTCAGCACCGGCCCCGTGTCACCAAAACTCGGGGACAAACCCCAGCCTCAGCACCTGCCCCGTGTCACCAACATTCAGGGACAAACCCCAGCCTCAGCACCCACCCTGTGCTCCCAAAATTTAGGGACAAGCCCCAGGCTGAGCACCTGCCCCATGTCACCAAAATTCAGGGACAAATCCCAGCCTCAGTGCCCACCTTGTGTTCCCAAAATTTAGGGACAAACCCCAGCCTAAGTGCCCACCCCGTGTTCCCAAAAACTCAGGGACAAACCCACCCCATGTCCCCCCAGCTGAGGGCAAAACCCGGCCTCAGTGCCCACCCTGTGCCCCCAAAGCCAGGGACAACCCAAGGCTCGGAGCCCACCCAAAACTGGGGACAAATGCCAGCCCCAAGGCCAAACCCTGCCCTCAGTGGCCAGCCCGTGTCCCCTCACCTGTTTCTTGCTGTCCTTGCTCAGGGGGGGCAGGGTCCCCTTGCAGCTGCGGCGCCGCCCGTGGGGGGGCCCCCCCGGTTTCTGCAGTTTGCTGCGGTCGGGGTGGAACAGCCCCACCCTCT